TTGCAAATAATAGTAAAAAAAAAACCTCAAATCTAGACAAACAAACACCGTTGGCGTACAAAAACTGATCACTAAAAAATGTTTACAAAAAGAATTATTGTCTTGGTTGGGAAGTTGCTACATCAACACAGTGGCGTGCCCTGTAGTTATATGCCATGCACACCCTTGGTTTCCCACACTCCTTATAGTCAGAGAAATCCTTCATTCCATCAACCCAGGTCAGAAAAGTTCATAGTGGTGCATTTCTATGCAAAACCTCCATTTTGAGTGTTTCTCCAGTGATCCAAAGTGAATACATGTTGTGTTTTAAATAAAAACAGAAATTGCTGGACAAATTCAGCACATCTAGTAGCCTCTGTGGAGACGAAGTTAACATTTCAAATTCAGTGACCCTTCTTCAAAAGTGATTTAAGGCAGGAAAAGGTGTTATTTACATTGATGATAGTGGGTGAAGGGTGAAAAGGAGTGAGTGGACAGGTAGAGACAGAGCCCAGAAAGACAAAAAGCAAGTTTGGCAGATAAAAGGGATGGTCAATAATTAGCCATGTTTTTATTTTTGTGTCTTCATCGAAGCACCAACCAGCTTCAGTGTGCTTACCTAAGATTTAGACTTGATTGTTGTCAATCTTCACTTAGTTACACTATAGGTACTGCAAATAACATCTCAGGGCCTTTTCTGTAAACCAGCAAGATTCAAAATCTGGCTTGGTTCTGAGGTTGTTGGATTTGATCGATTTTTTTAATGAAGCAGCCTTTCTCTAAGAAAGGCGATGCAGGGATTTCATAAACTCTCCAGTCAAACAGTATGACTCCTGACCCCTCCGTTAAGGACTAAATGGGCAGCATTTTCCACTCCATTAAGCAGCATAGGCGACAGCAATAACATTCGGAAAGCATGAAAAAAAGTAAGTTTCTCAACATTGAGAAAAATGTTTCTGATTTTCCCTTTGAAGTTTAAATGGTGAGTTCACAATCTTGTTAAATAGAAGTTGTCAGCTTATTTAAAATGCATCTTCCATCTCATTATTAGCTAATCTCAGTTTATTTCTATTTAGCTCCCAATTCTCCCCTCCTTCCCTGAGAAACTGGACAGTGCCATTCCCAATATGAAAGAGTGGTGTCAGTGGCAGCAACTCCCTGCTTGCTTCTTCAGGCCTTCGACAACTGTGTTTTCACAACCATTTCTCTGCATCCTCCACTCTTTATCTACTCAGTCAGGCATTGCCCAGCCACCAGCATCCCCACATCATCATGGCTACTTTGGCCCAACTCTCACATCACCTCTGCCAGGTCACTTTGTCCACAAGGACACATACATTTCATGAACATATCCATAGCACCTTTTACTATGCTTTGTTTACTTTCTTGGCACTCATTCACTTTGCTTTTACCAGGAGGCTGCCAAATGTCTCTGGTTAACATTGATTTTATTAAAGAGGAAGAACTAGGTAGCTTTTTACAGTTCAACAGTCCAGGGGCAGACATGTTGCTACATTATATTGTACTATATCAATGTCACATCTACAGCATTTACCAGCCACTTACATAGCAAATACTTTGTGAAAATGGGCTTGTCTGAAGCTCCTGGCACAGCAGTTCTCACTGGGTCTATGGGGGACTACGATCAGTCAGGGGTACTGCCAGCTTCAGTCAAGGCATTGGAAAAATCTCAGACAAGGCAGGGCTGGCAACTGTTAGTCTGACACTTGGCCCTACCAGAGTCTGGGGTTGGGCCACTGTCAGATCAGAAGGTCAAGTGCATCTAGTCCAGGCTACCATTTACATCAGGCATGGTGCTATGAAGGCACTAGTCCAGGGGCTGGGCTGTTCTCTGTCAGGGCTGTCTTCACATGTCAGTCTGGAGTGGGGAGTGGACCATAGTCAGTCTTGGGGGACTTTGGTATTATCAATCAGCGAGCTGAGAGAGGAAGCCATGGAGTCCTGGGGAAAAGGGGAACCAGAAATCTGGGTACAGGGTTCACCTAACTGGGTCACTGAGGGAATGATGATAATGAAAAGTGACAATTCTTGTTAGAAGGTTGGGATCTCAGAGCATAGGCGTGAAGATGTGGGAGAGGTGTCTTCACAGATGTCAATCACTTTGGCCTCAACGCATGGAGAGTGTATGGCCAACATGGGCATGGCAATTTACAAAGCCACAGAGTCAGGGGTAGATTGGTTTTATTAACAGTTGTATAAAGGGGATGAATGGAAACAGAGTGAAGCTGAAAGGCCATTCTTTTTTTCCTGCAGAATTAACATTAAAAATTACAGCCATTACATATCTTGCATCAACCAACGCATTGTCGAGTCAGATGCATAAAGACATGCAGAGGCAAATTTAAAACTCTCACTTGCGTTTGCCAATTGTGTATCATTTTTCATACCTGATACCAGAAGAGACAGCTTCAGAGCTGCCAATTTCTCACTGTGAACTGTAACTATGTAAGGTCGACGCCTGTGATGCTCAAGAATGGACCTTTTTGATAGCATTCCCTCCCCAGGTGCCTGAATTTTGTTTCCCCAGTGTAGAAGTAACACTTTCGATCTGCAACATACATCTGGATAAGGGTCCACAGCTCAGAGCTCCATATCAAGGCATGACATTGGCCAACTTGTAAAGCTTCTACAGGGCTGTTAAAACAACACGGCGCTTCATAATAATTGATGTAGAGGATCAGGAGTAGTATTACTGATCTGCTGTTCAATTCTCGGAGATTAGCACGTCACACATCTGAGGCAGAACCTACAGTTGGAGCATTCCCCACGGCCTTGTTGGAAAATCAGACAAAAGAGAACAATTCCAATGTTTTGACCAAACCAGTCTCTAGTGGTCACTGTACAGCCTCCAGAACGAGAAACAGCAGGTGAAGATCCCACCAGGAGGCAGAGAGTGACCAGAGCCCGAACCTACCACGCCTTCCGAAGATGAGATTTTGAAGCCTTGACTGCTCCAGTAGGGAATGCAGTACAGTCGAGAAAGGCCGTGTCATACATTGTGTCCTTCACAACCGGAGCAGGTAAAACAGTGATGGTTGCAGAGAATATAATGGATTGAGAATCCTCCTCCTCCTCCACCAAGGATGAGGACCAGATTGGATATCTAACATGCCACAATAGAGCTATGGTCTGCTGAATACAAGAAGCCAGACTGAACCTAATTGAACCCAGCTTCCAGGTTGAATGAGCTGGGTCTGCACTTCCTTTCTTATGTAACTTCTTTAGGTTATATGGCAGGCAGCCCCTGGTCAGTCAACAGTACATAGTGACCTGTTTATTTCTGCACCCCTTGAACTCTTCTGTTGATTAATAAATGCTTACTCATCTATGTGATTCTATGCAGATTATCTTTGGCTTATCTCATTGTCAAGAATCTGCACTTTACAAGCCCTACTTCACTATTCAAGAGACAGCAGAATCAGGGAGACAGGGCAGTAACACTGCATGGTCTGGAAGTTAGATGGTTTTCAATGTTTCCGTTATTTGCACAGTATAGTCCCTCAGGAAGGGCAGGGTAGGTGCAATCCTGAAGCACCTCCCTTTCACTCTTCCATCATCGGTTGGCCCTCAACTTTGCTTAGCCTGTTAAATTGCCCAGATCATCCTGTAGAACAGTGTTTAGTCCGAGAGAGGCAGCTTATCTTGGCAGGCCAATGTATTAGAAGACAGAGTGGAGATGGGAACTTCCCATTGTAGAAAGGCAATGTGCTACCATGAAAAGCTGAAAGATAGAATGAAACACTGCTTGCAGAAATGTGTGAAATGATCACGGATTCTGTGTTGTTACTCACAAGGTGGGTGTTTTACATGTAACCTGTGCAGGCCAGGTCCTACCACTATCCCTGCACATTGCTTACAGCCTCAGTGTTGTCAACATTAAAGTTCAACACCTTTGCTGCAGTCAACAATGCAACAGTTAAGGAGTTGTTTGCTTGTGAGAGATGAGGCGTATTCGGTGATTACTTCTTTCGTCCTTGGGATGTCTGAAGACTTGCTCATATCTCAAATGGGTGTGACTTCACCAGATCTGACAAGTGTAAGTGAACATGAATTTCAAAAAATGTAGGTTTATTTAGAATAAAGTGTCACCCGTGCCAGTTATGTGCTGTTAGTAATTTTTTTTTTTAATCTTCTTTCCGCTCCCATTACATCAAAATATAGTCCTGGGCTCTGCAACTGGGATGAAGGGAATCTGCTCTGTAACTGGCCCTCTCAACCTAGAAGATGTGGCTGCTTGTATCCAGGGGTGATTGGGCTAGACAGCCAAAGCCCACTGAGAATGTCTTTGCCCAGGTGCTCTCCTTGGCTTGGGTTTCTGTAAATTCTGGAATCACAGTGAGGGGGGAGGGGGAGGGGCAGGCATCTCTGGAGTGTCCTGAGAGGAATATTTTAGAGTAATATTTGTTTACCCTCCTCCCTATGAGTGCCTACTAGCACCACAATTTCTCCCTGAGAAGAAGGGGCATCTGGGTGAGGCTGAGGTGGTTTCTTTTTCCCTTTACCTTAACACTGATGCTGAGCCATCACAGGATACAGAGATGGAGTGAAGGTCTGTGTGCATACCTGCAGGAACTGAACGGACCAGACATGGCTTTCCATGGCAGCCATTCCAGTAGCCAGCCTGTTCATGAAGGCAACCAGATGTCTACAGGCAGGAGACATCATGGTACTGATAACGTTGGTGGGCACTTACCCTTGCAGAGCCCTGCAGGTTGTTTACCTTCGTTTGATCCTGCTTGGCATTGTGTTTGACCCTGGGCCAGCACTTCCTACCTTACAACAGAAACTTTCTGTAAAATGTGTTTTGAGACATCTCTGAGGTCATCAAAGACATTACATAAATGCAAGTCTTATTTTCCCTTTAACTCACCAAACATCCAGTTTTTATTTTATGTAAAGTTTCCAAACAAGTGAAGATAACGACCTCTTATCTCTCAGGTTATGCAGTTTGCAGTCCATTGCCCATTACCCTAACTAAACTCAATGAACTTCAGAATTACCTGGAGGATGCGATGATGGATGAATTGAGGCCACCATAACAGGAAATTGCCACTGACAGTGGTATGAGCCACTTTACATAACCCAGAACTTGGTCTGCAAACGTCTGAAGAAACATTGTCATCAATAATTCAGAATTTCATCTTCTGCTTGCAAAATTCAAGTAGTAAAAACAATTCACTGGCTTTCATTGGAATTACAATCTTAACACATCTTCTAGTGACGTTTATTCATTTAACTAGTTAAAAACTATCTATTAGGTAATTAGAGAGAACTAGAATTATATATTTGTCCAAAATAAAACATCCAACAGAATAAGCTCATGCAAGAATAAAAGTAAATAATATACCTTCAATTAGTAATGCAACATCAATGAGTTGTGTCAGATCTTAGGATATAAAACTTCTGAAACAACTCAAGCGAGGAGTTTGGATGATAGTTTAAGGATCATTGCTCACAAATCAAGTGGAACTAATTACTTAAAACAAATCTTCGGTGCTGACGTCATTTCTTCGTTGGGGTTACTCTCATCAGAAATGAGCAGTGTGGAAACTAATGAATCACTAGGCACCCTTACAACACAGATTCATAGATTCATACATACTCCTAATTAATGATTTAAAAAACCTGCCAGTCCTCAGAGATTCAATAGCAGCATATTCTGAATAAAAGCAAAAGAAAGCCTATGAAAGTTTAAAGGGGAGATGACATGTGAGTACACATGATTCATACTGTATGCTATAATAAATCCAATAGAAGATAATTCATGCTATTCTAGGTATATATATGTTTTACTGTTACTTTCTAGCTGAATTATCATTTGGTTTTCAATCTATTATGGTTGTACACCATCAGTTTCACAAATTAAATTGATTGTGTAGTATGGTTACAGAACAGATGGAGGTCATGCAGCCCATTGTGTTACTGCCAGTTGTCTACAAGAGCAACTTTGCTAGTCCCTCTGTCCCATCCATCCCACCAGTTCTGCAAGCTGTCTGGTCAGCTGCTTCTCCAATTGTGTTTTGAAAGCATTGATTGAATTAGCCTTCACTACAGTCCCTTCAGCGTTCATAAAGTAGAACCATAGAATCCCTACAGTGTGGGAGCAGGCCATTCAGCCCATCAAGTCCACAATGACTCTCTGAAGAGTATCCCACCCAGACCCACCCCTTACCCTATCCCTGTAACACTGCATTTCCCATGGCTAATCGACCTATCCGTGGACACTATGGGCAATTTAGCACGGCCAAGCCACCTAACCTGCACATCTTTAGACTGCAGGAGGAAACTGGAGCATATAGAGAAAACCCACGCAGACACGGGGAGAATGTGCAAACTCCACACAGACAGTCGCCCGAGGGTGGAATCAAACCCAGGTCCCTGGCACTGTGAGGCAGCAGTGCTAACCACTGTGCTGGAACTTTCTGTCAACGGAAACATTTTCTTTCTATTAACTTGATCTAGACCAGTCCTGACTTTGAACATGTCTAACAAAATGTTCTTTTTAAGCAGAACACGTAGGCCCAGCTTCTCCAAACCACTGATGTAACAACGAGTCCCTCATTCCTGGAGTCATCCTCATACATCTTTTCTGCACTGTCCCTAAAGCCTTTGCATTCTTGCTATGGTGCACTGCCCAGAATTAGACATGATTAGTTGAATTTCACAACTTTGCTTTCTTTTCAAGCAACAGGACTATTGTTGGGTTGCAAATCTGATTACTGACCTTCAAAGTAGTTCTGTACCTGCTTTTAGGCTTCTTGATCAATAGGAAGAGAAGGCAGGGTGCTGTGGCCATTTTGTCAGAGGACAAATAATTAAAAGTGCCACAGCATGCTTGAGAATCTAACCAAGACTTGAATTTTTGATGGTTGAAGTATCCACAGGAATAATGAAGGGACATCAGAAAGCTGGCACCTGGCTCTGTCATCCTGAAAGACCACTTATGATGTCAAAGAGTGTCTCTAGATGAGACAGTTACAGATAATGGAAACTATAACTTTAAACCATCCAAGGCTCCTTTGACAGCAACATCCAAACCTGCAAACTATACCACTTAGAAGGACAAGAAGTGTGGGGACACCACCAGACGCAAGTTCCCCTCTGAGCCATATTCCATCTGACTTGGAACTGTATCACTATTCCTTCATTGTCACTTAGCAAAAATCCTGGAACTCCCTTCTTAACAGTACCTTTGGTGCCTCATGCCCCAGGACTGTAGCTATGCAATAAGACAATTCACCACCACCTTCTTCAAAACAATTAGAGATGGCAATGACCCAACCAGCAGTGCCGACATTTCATGCGCAAACATAAAAAATGGTTCAATGTACACCTACAGGTAGGGATCTGAACAAAACTGAATATAACTGGTTGGAGATGCAGAGTTCTCAGGGCACACTTGAATTCCAGAGTTTCTGCTTAACTAATGTAGAACCCTCATTTGCAATGGAAACAATTAGCAACACACAAGGAAACTCAGTACTTTAAGGGAGGAAAATGCAGGCAAGTTTTAACATGTGTAAAGTGTGTCCCAAAAATGTTCATTGCGGGTATATTTCAATCTCGAAACTTTGCATGATGACTTACCACAGCCACAGCATCACTGTGGAGGATGGTGGGAATATCCAGAACAGCATAATAAGCCACATTTGTTAGGATGTAGATACCGGTTACAAGAGGCATAGAAATGGCAATAGCTAAGGGTAGATTCCTGTCACAGAGCAAACAATATCGTTGTCAAATAAACAAATGCAAAAAATGGCTCATTTACCACAATTCGCTCTCTTTTACGATAGCTTCAACAACCCAATCTAAAGTCATTGTAGATTTTATGGTTTACAACCCTCCTGGAACGACCAACTGTTTTGTGGAATTGGTGGTTCCTGCTTGAAACGTTGTCTCCAGCAGCCCTAAAGTTTCAGTTATTTAAGCCTCCTGCCACAATGCTAAATGTCCCTAGTCACCCCCATTGACAACCACCTTGGTTTGTGACACCACTACTGCAATAAGTCAGGGACTGGAGTGCAGCAGAGTGCTGTGAATTCATTGAGTAAGGAGAATCTTCTTCTGTTCCTAAAATCTAACTTTGCTTATATTTCACATTTAACATTTAAAAGTAATTTTTCATTTAAATTCTAAATTTCATCAAGGATTTAGCAGGGATATACAAGCTACTTGTGGTGGTGCAGGGTAATATCACAGAATTTACATTCCAGAACCCCAGGTTAATGCCCAGGGGACATGGGTTCAAATCTTATGTAGGTAGTCCAACTAGGGAAGGGGCCGTACTAGATCTTGTACTGGGGAATGAGTCTGGCTAAGTGATCGAAGTTTGAGTGGGGCAGCATTTTGGGAACAGTGATCATAATTCCGTAAGTTTTAAGATAGTTATGAAAACGGTCCTCAGGTGAAAGTGCTAAACTTGAGTAAGGTTAATTACAACAGCAATAGGCAGGATCTGGAATAATGATGGGGGGCGGGCACAGTTGGTTGAGAGCAAATCCATATCTGACATATGGGAGTCTTTTAAAAGCCAGTTGACCAGAATTCAGGACCAGCATGTTCCTGTGAGGATGAAAGATAAGGATGGCAAGATTCACGAACCCTGGATGACAAAAGATGTTGTAAGTTTAGTTAAAAAGACAAAGGGAGTATATGTAAAGTTTAGGAAACAGAAATCAAACAAGACCTTTGAAGAGTATAAAGGAAGCAGAAATGAACTTAAAACACAAATTAGGAGGGCTAGAAGGGGCCAAGATATATCCTTGGCAATTAGGATTATGGAGAATCCTAAAGCATATTAGAGCCAGAGAGTAACTACAGAAAGGGTAGGTCCACTCACCGATAAAGGGGGGAATTTGCGTATTGAGCCACAGGAAGTGATTAAGGTTCTTAATGAATAATTCACACGGTATTCAACGAGGAGGAGGATGGATGATGCTAAGTTTAGAGAGGGGTTTGTTGATACTCTAAGGTCATTTTGATATTAAGATGGAGTAGGTATGGGTGGTTTGCAAAGTATTAAGTTGGATAACTCCCCAGGACTTGGTGGGATCTATCCAAGGATACTGAAGGATACAAGGGAGGAGATTGTTGGGGCTTTGACAGAGATCTTTGTATCCTCTTTAGCCACACGCGAGGTCCCAGAAGACTGGAGAAGAGCCAATGTTCTTACTCTGTTCAAGAAGGGCAATAAGGATAATCCAGGAAATTATAGACCCGTCAGCCTTACAGGAGTCTAAGGAAATTATTGGAGAAGATTTATAGGGACTAGATTTACTTGCATTTAGAGAAGAATGAACTTACTAGGGATAGTCAACAAAGCTTTATGCAAAGGGGTTCTTGTCTCATAAAACATGATTGAGTTTTTTGAGGAAGGGACAATAATGATTAATAAGGGTAAGGCAGTAAATGCTGTCTACGTGGACTTTACTGAAGCATTTGACAAGGTTCCTCATGGTTGGTCCAGAAGTCCATGGTGATTTGGCAAGTTGGATACAAAACTGGCTTGGTTATAGAAGACAAAAGTACTTGTGCAGGGACATTTTTCTGACTGGAGGTCTGTGACCGATGGTACTCCAACAAGGATCAGGGCTGGGACCTCTGTTCTTTATTATATACACAAATGATTTGGAGGAATATATTAGCGGTCTGATACTAAGTTTGTAGATTACATGAAAATTGGTGGCATTGTGGATAGTGAGGAGGATTGTCAAAGGATGCAGGATATAGATCAGTTGGAACATTGGGAGGGGAAAATGTAGAAGGATTTTAATCCAGACAAGTGTGGGGTGATACATTTTGGGGGTCAAATGGAAGTGGAAAGAATACAGTAAATGGCCAGACCCTTAGGAACATTGATATACAGAGGAATTTTGGGGTCTAAATCCATAGCTCCCTTAAAGTGGCAACATAAGTGGATAAGATGGTGAAGAAGGTATATGGCATGTTTGACTTCATTGGTCAGGGCATTGACTATAAAAGTTAGCAAGTCACGTTGCAGCTGTATAAGAATTCAGTCAGGCTACACTTGGAGTACTGTGTGCAGTTCTGGTCACCAAATTATTGGCAGAATGTGGAGGCTTTGGAGAAGGTGCAAAAGAGGTTTACTAGGATGTTGCTTGGATTGGAGCGTACTACCTATAGGAGAAGTTGGACAAACTTGGAGTGTTTTCACTACAGCATTGGTAGCTAATGCGTGACCTGATAGGAGTATACAGAATAATGAGAGGCAAGGATAGGGTGAATAGTTGGAGTCTTTTTTTCTCAGGGTGGAAATATCAAATACTAGGGGGCATAGATTTTAGGCGAGAGCGGGAAGGTTTAAAGGAGATGTGCAAGTTTTTTTTTACATAGAGGGTGGTAGGTGCTTGGAACATGCTGGTAGGGGAGGTGATCAAAGCAGATATGATAGCAAAGCTGAAGTGGCATTCAGACAAACACATGAACATACAGAGAATAGATGGATATGGACCATGCGCAGGTTGATGGGATTAGTTTAGAATAGCATCATGGTCGGCACAAACATAGTAGGACAAAAGGTTATATTGTTCCACGTCTATGTTCACTGCAGTCAATTAAGGAAACCAGCTTAACTGGCTTTTTTTCAGCCAGTAAGAAGAGGCAATTCATTACAACGTAGCACTATGAGTAACTTTCAGCAAAGTGTTGGAGATGGGTGAGTAAGGGAGTTAAGGGGAAGAAGGTGCTTTAGTTTTTTGTAACATTTTCTCCCTGTATTAATTGCTTCTTATTCTACTATAGCACAAGTAATTTGGTGAGTATCTGGTAAGTGGTTACAGTTTACTCTATTCCTCAGGTTTAAAATAGTACAGGAACTTGTGGCTGATATTTTCCAATCAAACTGTTCAGAGATGTTATAACACACCTCTGACGTAGGTGGGATTTGAACCCAGGTCTTCTGGCTCAGAGATAGGGACACTACCACGGCAGCTCAAGAGCCCAATACAAATTGGTGTAAGATTCATAAAACATGAAAGAAAATAAGCAATTAAGACATTAAGGACGGTAGAACAGGTGATGTGTCATGGTTGCAGCATGTATGAGCTCCTGGATGCTAATGTGAGTGAGTTCTGCAGCAAGTGGTTAAAGCTTGAGAAGCTTTGGTTGAGAGTATCTGAGCTGGAGGATGAGTTGCAGGCACCCCAACATGTCAGGGATGGAGAAGGTTACCCAGATATTTGTTGCAGGGGGCACTCACACCCCTTATGATTGGGTTCATTGATTTAATAAGTGATCAATGGCTGGATAATATGGCTGCTGCTGAGGCAGATAAGTGAACCCTAAGTGTAGGAGCCTGAGCCTCTGCAACTGTGCAACAATTCTGAGATTCTTTCACCTTGTTTGGAGGCAAGTGATAGATGCAGGGTAAGTAAGATAATTGGACATGGCACTGTAAGGTAGGAAACCATTTAAGTGCAGGAAGCAAAAATGAATGTAGTGCTGGTACAGGGCAGTATGGTGAAAGGGACTGACACTGCCCTCTGAACCAAAGAACAAAGTCTGGAAAGCTATGTTGACTGCTCAGTGCCAAGGCTCAAGACACCTGCTCGGTGTTAAGAAGGGTTTACAATGAGATGGGAGGAACCAATTGTTCTGGTCCATGGCCTCCTAACTGTACCAGACTGTAGGATGGAGGATAAAGGAACAAATAATTGGAGCTTGTCAGAAAGGTATGGTGATAATCATGGGAGAGCTTAATCTTCACGCAAACTCGGAAAATTGGATGGACAAAGCTAGCCTAGATGAGGAGTTCATGGAACATTTAAAAATTGTTTTTTAGAACAGCACATTTTGGAGCCAACTAGAGAAAACACAATTCTAGACCTGGTTTGGGAATTAGATAGCATTAATTAATGATCTCATAGTAGAAGTGTCCTTAGGTAGCAGTGATCATCATATGATTAAATTTTACATTCAGTTTGAGGGAGAGAAGAGGCAGGGGGACAGACTAATATTTTAATCTTTAATATGGGTAAATGTGAGGGCATGAAAATGCAGTTAGCAAAAGTGAATTGGCAAATTAAGTGATAAGTTAATAGAGATACAGCAGCAGGCCTTCAAAGGCATATTTCAGAATACACAGGGTGGAGACATTCCAAGTCGAGAATCCAACATGTGCAGTTAACGAAAAAAAGTTAACAAACTGAAAGTTTTTTTTTAAAAACCATAATTGCACAAAGATAGGGTGCAGATCAGAAGACTGGAAAGAATATAAAATCAACAAGGAATGACTAAAAGATTAAATCAAGTGAATAAAAATTAGAGTAGAAGAAAAAGCTAGCTGAAAACATGAAAACAGATAAGTATGTATAAAGATATATGTGAAAATGTTAACAAAGTTAGTATTAGTCCCATAGAAATCTGGGAATTAATAATAGAAATTTAGGAGATGACAAATGAATTCACAGATTGATAGAATCCCTACAGTGTGGAAACAGACCATTTGGCCCATCGAGTCCATCTGACTTTCTGAAGTGCATCCCACCCCCGCACCCTATCTCTGTAAGCCTGCATTTCCCATGGCTAATCCGCCTAACCTACACATTCCTGGACACTATGGGACAATTTAGCACGGCCAATCCACCTAACCTGCACATCTTTGGACTGTGGGAGGAAACTCATGCAGACACGGGGAGAATGTGCAAACTCCATACAATCACCCAAGGGTGGAATCAAACCAGTGTCCCTGGTGCTGTGAGGCAGCAGTGCTAGTCACTGAGCCACCATGCCGCCCCAAGCTAATGGCTACTAGCATCTGGGGAAAAGTGTCAAAATTGGGACAGCTGTCTCAGAGACTTGTCAAACTATAGCCTGACTTAGTCATGTTACCAAGAATTGTACCTTACAATGTCCTAGACATTACCAAGCCATCTCTTGTATCTTCGGTCACAGTGGAGCACACACAAGAGAGAGTTTCCCTGGGAATCCTTAATATTGATGAATGCTCATGGCATCAGATCAAACATGGACAAGGAAACCTGTTGCTGATTACCAACAGCATATGCTGAGGCGTTCAAACCAGTAACTTTTGGAACAGTTCAAGGAGCCCAGCCTAACTGTAGGAGTATGTAATGTGAAAAGGTTTAGCATGAAGTGAAGTGGATGGCTGTTGAATCTGTGTTTTTTGGGGGTGGGAAAGAAGAGAAAAGGGTGGGGTGGTGTGAGAGAGAGAGAGGGAGAGGGAGAGGGGGAGGGCGGGGGAGAGAGAGAGAGAGAGACAGACAGACAGACAGACAGACAGACAGAAAGAGAGAGACATGTAATGTGACTTAATACTCAGGATCCAGAACTAACAGTGCAGAAGAGAGGACAATACTTGTGGACATCAGTTAATGGACTCCCTGATCATAGTCTCTTTTTAAGCTAAAACAGAAATGGCTAGAAAAACTCAGGACTGGCAGCATCTGTGGAGAGAAGTCAGGGTTAACACTTCAGGTCTGCTTTCTATCCACAGATGCTGCCAGTCCTGCTGAGTTATTCCAACAATTCCTGGGTTTTTTTCTGATTTCCAATATCCACTGTTCTTTTTGTTTATTTTGTATAGGCTCTTCTTACCTTGTTTGTGAATGAGACGGCATCTTAAATAAGTCACAATACTCACCTCTCAGGGTTTTGAATCTCTTCAGTCACAAAGTTAAGAGTGTCCCAGCCGGAATAAGAATATAGTGCTGAATACAGAGCTAGAGCCATCTCACCACCGTTTAATTTGGAGCCTTGAAAGGAATCTTGAAACTTATCCGTTTCTCCTGCAATAGTATTAAATAGTATTCAGTATTAAGAAATGGAATTCAGTATGTTCCTGTGAATAAGTCTTTGAAAGGTGAAGATCCTGAAATCTCTGTGAATATACACAGTAAACTTTTTATTATCTGGTACCAATGGATCAAATATTCCAGATAATTAAGAGGTCTACATAATCAACGTGAATTGACACGTTAAGTAATTAAAACATAATACAAGGAGTTTCTACTCACCGTTACATTTTGTTTGCAGCATAAATCACTTAAATAAAATGCAATTTTGCCTTAAATAAAACTTACAGCAGAGTGCCTTCTCACTTGCATTCTCAACTGACTTCCCGGACATTGCAGTAGGTCATGGTATTTGAGGAAAAATTGACTCAAAATTGAAACAACTGTTCATATGTTGTGTGGCCATTCGATTGAACAAGTATGTTTACATTGAGGTGAACAAATTAAAAAACCATAATAATGGGATAAAATAATACAGTAAACTTTACAGTATTTGAGGTATATCATTTTTGTCAGTTATCAAGAATGCCAGTTCATAATATGCTGGTTAAAACAAAGTTTGCTGCATATACTTTTCAACAAGAGTCAAAAAAAAATCTTTTTCAAATGAATTGTTACATTTTCCAGTCTCAAAAACGTGGGTACATTTTGACAGTTCAGACATTGGCACAATGGGGTTGAATATTGAAGAGGCAGGTGCAGGGCTGAACAATATAAACTGCAATCTTGCAGATTAAATCAATTTTAATTGACCCAGTTGGTGGCACTAGAGTAATCCAACAATTATAATGAATCGCTGAAAGATTGGGAGAGCTGCCAACAAATCCCACACCCCAATGGAGCAAAATTCTGTTCTTAAGTGCTGCGCAGATTTCATAAACATTCAACATCAACAGAAAGAAAGGAATGAATTTAGAGTTACGCAGCACTTCATACGTCCTCAACATGTCTTTTGAATTGGAGGCAATGGAACCAACGAACTTCAATATTACAAAGTCCAAGCTCCCGAATAAACAGATAGTACTTTTGTGTTAGCACTGGAGAATAACCAACTGCTCTTCTTCAATTATTGCCACAGGATATTTTAGATTTTACCTAGACAGGTATTGGTTTAATGTTTTATTTGAATAATGCAGTACTGTTTCAGTATGGTGCTGTGGTGCCAAGTTAGATTACGTGCTCACCATAGGGGTAGTTAAACATACTGCCTTCTGAGCCAGGCAAGATTCCAACTTAAGCCAAAGCAGCTTACTATCTCCAATTATGCATTGGCAAAAGGATACTAGAAGACATAGAATTAGACACATTTCAACTCTGAGTAACTTGTAACTGCAGTTTGTCAATGGGTCAATGAATTTAAACAATGTTGGATTCTTTTGCAACAGTTAATTGCTTTACAAACATAAAATCATTGTATACTGTCTGTCTCAGGAGATTTCCAATTAAAGATACGTAACAAATTAAAGCTGTTTACCTTGACAAAGCTGCACGAACCCAGCTATGATGATGATGATCAAGGCAACCACTTTAGCAAAGGTGGACACCACCTGCAGTGTAGCTCCCCACTTCACCTTGGCACAGTTCACCAATGTCAGCATACCTTTAGATTCAAAACATGTCATCAATTTTTGAACAAGTTCAAGAAGAAGCTAGAAGATCCAAAACTAATCCTATCTGCCTCCCTATGTCATTGTATTTGTCTATGCTTCAAATATGTATTCAGCAGCTTATGTGGCAACCAAAAGGCCATACCTCAAAGTCCCAAATCAGGCCATGAGACACATGCCCTCAGTTGGGGGTGTCACTACAGTCAGTCAAAAACAGCAAATAACCTTATTTTAATATTCATTCAAGGGATTTGGGTGTCACTAGCTAGACCAGCACTTTTTGTCCATCCTTAATTGCCCAGAGGGCATTTAGGAATCACCCACAATGCTCTGGGTCTGGAGTCACATGTAGACCTGAACAGGTAAGGATGGCAGTTGCCTTCCCTAATGGACATTAATGAACCAGTTAAGTTTTTCCTGACAATCAATACATGGTCATTATTAGACTGTTAATTCCAAATTTTGTTTTAATGGAATTCAAATTACACCATCGCAGGATTTGAACCCAGGCCCCAGAACATTACCTGGGTCTCTGGATTAATAGTCTAGTCATTATACCATAGGGCCATTGCCTCCCCATCTTAGTCCAGGGACATGGATACAGTTAGTCAGCTGCTTGGTCTGGTCAGGGGTTCCATGTCCTGATAGTCTGGGCAGTGAGACACATTGAGTCCTGCAGGTCCAGTGCAACCAGTCAAGAAACTGCAATGAGATCAGTCAGGGGTCTCTAGCTAAGTTGGCTAAGGGGGTGGGCACAGTCAGATTTGGGGACTGTGCACTTAATTTCAAGGTGGGTTATCAGAAGTCACCACTCTGGTAGGAAGGTTGGGTAAGTCAATGATGGGGATTGGAGGCAGCATTCTGGGCTAGAGAAGAGACAAAATTTGTAATGGAGGAAACTAAAAATACAAAAGGTGGGCGCAAAAGTGCATTGGAGGACATGCGTGACTGTAGCAAAGAGGTCATCAATGGTCACCAGCAACCCGGAATCAATGGATAACAGTGCATCATTATGGCTAGTATGGCTAAGGTGTAAGCACGGGGCTCAGGGGGTAATATTAGAAGATAGAGATTTAAATTGAAGAGTTCAGAATAGTGGGACCTCAGAACTGATGAGTTTAACAGGGATTACAAGGAAGAAAGGAATGTGAAGGTTTGAGAGGAATCCTAGATTACTAGGCTGAGCCTGCGATTCACTATGCAAAGTATGTTCCCTTCCAGCCTTATCCGAATCCCAAATCCACACTGGAAATGTGAAATAGCTCCCACCAAACCGTCAATGGTGCACTGGGTGGTTTTATCTGTCTGAACACACAGGTTCTACTTTTGATTGATGTGAGGCCCTTCAAGGAACAAGTGCACTTACAGGATGGGTTGAAGGCAACTAAGTATCCAAGTGTGTGGATACAAATCATGGTCACAAACAATCCTGACCATGCCATGGGGAAGGCGATGGCCTAGTGGTATTATCGCTAGACCATTAATCCAGAAACTCAGCAAATCTTCTGGGGACCCGGGTTTGAATCCCATCACGGCAGATGTTGGAATTTGATTTCAATGTAAAATATCTGGAATTAAGAAGCTACTGATGACTGTGAAACTGTTATTGATTGTTGCGAAAAACCCATCTGGCTCAGTAATGTACACTCTACCATCCTCACCTGGTCTGGCCTACATGTGACTCCAGAGCTCTAGCAATGTGGTTGACTCTTAACTGCCCTCTGAAATGGCCTAGCAAGCCACTTAGTTGGATCAATTACTAAGAAGTCTCAACAAAGAAACTAAACCAGACGGACCAGCTGGCATCAACCTAGGCACCAGAAAAGACAACAGCAGAAACAGTCCTATCAACACTGCAAAGTCCTCCTTCCTAATATCTTGGGAGCCAGTGCCAAAATAGGGACAGCTGTTTCACAAACTAGTCAAGCAACAGCCTGATATAGTTATACCTGATAGAAAATGTCCCAAATACCACCATCACCATCCCTGGATATGTCCCATCCCATCAGCATGACAGACTGAGCAGAAGTGGTGGCACAGCAGTATACTGTCGGGAGGGATTTGCCCTGAGAGTCCTCAACATTGACTCTGGACCCCATGAAGTCTCATGGCTTCAGGTTAAACATGGGCAAGGAAACCTCCTGATTACCGTATACCATCCTCCCCCAGCTGATGAATCAGTACTCCGCCATCTTGAGCAACATTTGGAGCAAGCACTGGGGATTGCAAGGGCACAAGATTTACTCTGGGTAGGAAATTTCAATATCCACCAACAACAGTAACTCGGCAGAAGCACTACTGATCAAACTGGTTGGGTCCTAAAGGACACAGCTGCTAGACTGGATGGAGCCAACAAGAGGGAAAAAAAACATACTTGACCTCATCCTTACAAATCTGCCAGCTGAAGATGCATCTGCACATGACATTAATGGCAAGAGTGACCACCGCACAGATCTTGTGCAAACGAAGTCTTGCCTTCACACTGAAAATAACCTCCATCGTGTTTTGTGGCACGATCACCGTGCTAAATGTGACAGGCATCAAACAAATCTAGCAACTCAAAACTTGTACGCAGTACCTAGAAGTGGCCTCACCAATGTCCTGTACAGCTACAATATGACATCCCAACTCCAATACTCAATGCACTCACCAATGAAGGCAAGTGTACCAAATGCCCTCTTCACTACCCTGTTAACCTGTGACTCCACTTTCAAGGAACTATGCACCCGCACCTGCATCTAGGTCTCTTTGTTTGGCAACACTCCCCAGGGCCTTACCGTTAATTGTATAAGTCTTGCCTTGGTTTGCCTTAACCAAAATGCAACATCTAACATTTATCAAAACTAATCTCCATTTGCCATTCCTCAGCCATTGACCCATCTGATCAAGATCCTGTTGTACTCTTAGACAATCTTCTTCACTCTTCACTACAATTTTGGTGTCATCTTCAAACTTACCAACCATGCCTCCTATATTCAAATCCAAATCATTTATACAAATGACAAAATGCAGTGGACCCAGCACGAATCCTAGTGGCACACTGCTGGTCACATGCCTCCAGTCCAAAAATCAACCCTCCACCACCACTTCTGTCTCCTACCTTCAAGCTAATTTTGTATCCAATTGGCTAGCTCCCCCTGGATCCCATGCAATCTAACCTTACTAACCAGTCTACAACGCGGAACCTTGTCAGTGCAGAATTGCTTGAAACTCCCCAAAATTGACACTTCGCCCATTTTTGGTAAAATTCAACCCCTTGTTTTCAAATCTCTCCATGGCCTCACTCGTTTCTATTCCGTACCTTCCTCCACCCCCACAAAACTTTGAAATGCATGTGCTCCAATCTGGGATTTAGTGCTTCAATTTTAATCCCAGCAGTGGTGATTGATGTGCCAGTTGCCCAAATCTATTATTCCCTCCCTACATTGCTATCTCCTTTTCCACCTTTAGGATACACCTTAAGAACTAACTTTTAGGCTAAAGGTTTGGGCATTTGGTCAAAAATCTGCTTATATGGCACAATCTCATAATACAAAAAAAAGGTAAAGTCACCGTAGTCCTCCTAGACCATACAACTGTTCTCTCATTACATTCTCTCATAACCTAGTGAGGAGAGGCTCAGAAGGAGAATCCTTCATAGTATCATGCTCCTTTGAAATGCTGTGGATGTTTCCTGCAGTAAAGGTGATATACAAGTTGTTTCTGCCGACTGTGTTCAATGTGAAAAATGGAATTTTATAGAACTATTTCCTTTAATTGTAAAATGAAGTCTATAGAAAGTCAATTAGTGGGCAGCAAGGTGGTACAGTGGTTAGCACAGCTACCTCACAGCACCAGGGACCCAGGTTTGATTCCATCCTTGGGGGACTGTCTGTGTGGAGTTTGCACATTCTCCCCGTGTCTGCGTGGGTTTCTGCGAAGAGCTCCGTATTCCTCCCACAGTCCAAAGATGTGCAAGTTAGGTGGATTGGCCATGTTAATTGACCATAGTGCTCAGGGATGTGTAAGTTTAGGTGTGTTAGGCATGGGAAATGCAGGGTTGGTGGAATAGGGGAGGGGGATTGGTCTGGATGGAATACTCTTTGGAGGGTCAGTGTGGACTTGTTGGGCCGAATGGCCTGTTTCCACACTATATGGATTCTACGTAAATAAAGCTGAAGCATATGACTTTAAGAAACTTCCATTAAAACACTTATTTGTAACTTGGAATAATAATGCTTACCCCACTATTCCCTCCCTGGTTAGCATGATATTTTACACGTTAGTTAAAACAGCTGCATCCATAACACAGGAAATGAAAATAAAAATAAAAATAATGGAATGAATCTGACACCACCACATTTATCCCAGCTCATTTTACCATTTTTATGTCTAATTGAAAATTTAATTGTGGTTTGTTGTTACCTGGTAGCCTCCAACAATAATGTGTTGTGTTGAGTTTTAAGAATTTCAACATGTATTTTAAGGACTTCAGGTGAGGAAGGCCACTCATTTTTTAAAAAAATCAGGACAAGAGAATGGAATTCTAGTCATTTTTGTCCCTTTACATCGCTTTTGCTCATACATGCCTTAGTCAGAGCTCTTTCTCTCATTAGAAGAAATTAAACTAACATTTAAAATCACCTTTAATGTAGAAATACTTCCTGTGGTGCTTCACAGGAAGCAATAGCAGGTTAGAACCGATGCAGAGTCAAACAAGTCAAAGTCTTTTAGCTGGAGTTTGTTTGAAGTCATTTATAGCTGCAGGCTCCCTCTGACACGTCTCTGCAGGACGTAGTTCCAAATGGGGAAGTCAGGGATTAGAACCAAGTTCAACGAAACTGTTTATTTCACTTTTAATCACTTGATATTTTAAAGAGGCTTAATGTAATGATTTCCAATAAAATGACATATGATGGAAGAGGAATATAATCAATAATTTCAAAGTCACAAGTGTCCAATAATCCTATTTAGGAACAAGATTGTTATATACATATTGGGCAGAAAGCTATAT